TTCAACTGTACATTCATAAATGGCGGACGAATGTATTTATCATGACATGTCATATGAAAACTATATACAAATTCTAATAAATAATGTGTTTTATTTTAATCCATATATTAAAAAATAAAGATTAATATAACCTTATTTTTTAAAAATTGTTTTTATTTAATTTCATCAATTCATTCATAAATGGCGGACAATGAAAGTTATCATGACATGTTATGCGAAAAAAAAATGAGACTTTAACTGTTATTCAAATAACAAGTCTTTTGTCTTTTTTATTAGCTTAATACATTGTACATGATATATTTTCATGTTCTACGAATAATTTTTCCCAAAATATCCAATCTATTGAAGATTTTAACTTTTGACGATTAAAAAAGGTCAAATTTATATCTTCAAATTAAAAGTGTCCGCCATTTGTGAATGTGCAGATGAATTCCAAAATAAAATATTTCAAATCAAAGCTTATGAAATGAAGAACAAAACTATCTATTTATTTTTTAAAAAAATTAAAATATTATTTTTCTGACATTTTTTTGGCTGTTGATCCCCCTATGATTTTACTACCATTTTTTTTTTTTTTTTTTTTTTTTTTTTTTTTTTTGATATCTTACAATATTGTAAGATATCCTACAATTTTTAAATAAAGTAGTATGAAAAAGTGGCCGTCTTAAAGAAATAGTGGGGTCACTTAACTTTTCCATCAATTTTAAAATAAATAATTGAAAAAGATATAAAATTTCAAAGCTTTTATTTGCGTATAAAATCTCGTTATTATATTTTTATCAGAAAAATATTCTGAACTTAAATGAAAAAATTGAGAATATTAAACAAAAATTGAATTAAAAAGTTAAGTGACCCCACTATTTCTTTAAGACGCCCACTTTTTCCCGAAATTTTATTTGATTTTTTTTTCTTAATATTTTCAAAATTGAGATGAATATTTTCATTATTCAAATTGTTAAAGCTCTCACAATTTTAGTAAAATATTCATGATTCCAATTATTTTTTATATATTAAAATATCAAATGTTCATAAAAATAATATTCAATAAGTAATTTATTCATTTAAATTATGTTTGGTCTTTTCGTCTATGTGGTATAGTATAAATTTTAAAGTCTAAGATAATTGCTATCGAGTATTTAGGAAATGAATACAAATATGAAATATTATTAATGTAGTGAACCTTGTTTTATATTATTGATTAAGATCATTGAAATTTAAATGTTATTACTATGAGTAGAAAAATGGGAATGATTCCAAATTATTTGAACACATTCTCTAAGTGTGATATTTTTAAAAAAAAATATTTTTAGGTTTATAAAATCTTTACCTTTTCTTACAGATACTGGCAATGTTTTGAATTATTTCTGCTTTTTTTGGTAATCCGGCTGCATAATTTTATTATATTATTTCTTTGTATTTTCAAAGAGATGATTTTTCTGAATACGCACAAATTTTTTAAAGCTCAGAATTTATCATATAGTGGTCCTAAAAAATATTGATAAGAAATTTAAAAATAATTTGAGAGAATTTTAAAATACCTTTCACATTCATTCAAATTTAATGACCTATTCATGAATTCATGAATCAATTGTTGGTCAATCTTTTGGCCTTTTATTTATATGTTTTCTTTACCAAAAAATACAAACGAACGCTATAATTTAATATCAAGTGGTTCTGCAATCTCACAATTTTAATAAAAGCAAAACAGCTGATGCATTAGGTATTTCGCTAAATTGCGTCAAGGCAGTAGCTATATAGATTGATGAAGGGAGACCAGAAAAAACACAACCCTTCCGACCACAAATATTAACAAATGAAATCAAGTATTTCATGTTCGTTAAAGCAATAATGTTTCCTGAAATCCCTGGAGCAGAAATGGCAAATGTTTCCTGAACACAAATTTTATTCTTTGTATGTAATAATCTAAGTTTAGAAACAAACAATTCTTTGATTGATTCTTTTCCAAAGAAATTGAATAAATGCCTCGAAGTGCAAGGCAATCAAGTAAGATTTTAATTTTAATTTTTAATAAAAAATCAACTTTTTGCAATTACCGAAAAAATATTGATAAGAAATCTAACTTTTTAAATTAAAAATTTTAAAAATAAAATAACTTTTGTTAACGACGATTAACTATTGAATTCATTTCGTATCAATATTTTTTAGGAACACTATAAATATTTTCACAAATTCAAACAGGTATGAATAATTCAGATTGATTGCATTTTTTTTTTTTTTTTTAAAAAAAAAATTATATAACGTATATTATTTCTGGGAAAAAAAAAATAACATAAAATTGAGTAAGGTTTTTATTGCCAACTCAAAAAGTAATTTCAATATATTCTGACCAAATAAAATTTATGTTTTAAATAATGATTCATTGAATAAAAAAAAGTAAAAAAAAGCTTTTCTAAAAATATATGATGAATTACTAACAAAAAATTGAAATATATTTTTTTTTTATTTTGAGATAAACTTCTCCTAAATGTTTTCACAATTAATTCATAAAAACATATTCAATTATTCATATTTTATTTACCAGATAACAATATTTTTACTTTCTACCAACTCCCAACATTTGAATATTATATTAGGGGTATAAATTGATCTGCTAGTTAATAGGCATTTCAATATCTAATAAAAACTATGCAATTCTATTATTTAATGATAAGTATTAAAACAATTTAATGCTGTTAAACTTTTGAATTATTGAATACTTTGTTTTCTTTGAAAAAAAATATTTAACGACACATTTACTTATTTTTGTTATTTTTTGTATGACAACTTCAGTTAGTTATTCATTATTCTGATATTTTTTGGCCATAGTTTTGATTTTATTCTGAATAGAATTCAAAATCTTTATCCTCGTTAATTCTTTTTTAAATAATTGAACAATGAATAAAATCTTTCATTTTGATATACTCACTAATATAAAAGAATGCTTTCAAAATTTAAATAAAAAAGAATATTCACATTTGATTGATTTACTAGATGGAAAATCGAAGATATTAGACAAAATATGAATGATTATAACCTATGAAAGGAATTGATAGACTTAAAAATAAAAATACTTTTAGAAAAAAAAAATATATCCAAGTTAGCATATTTTTCAATAGAAATCAATGCTATTATGATTTATAACACTCAGAAAAGTAAACACATTTTAAAAAAAAAAAAAAAAAAAAAAAAAAAAAAAAAAAAAAAAAAAAAAAAAAATAAGTCAAAAAAGATAAAATATTTTAAATTTGAAGTAAGTGAAATATTTATTCATCGATAAGACATGAGTAAAATAAGTTTTCTTATTGTTTTTAATATTATATTAAATAGTAAAATCCAGAGTTAAAATCATTGAAGCCTTAGAAACAATATTTTCCTCATAAATCAATGAATTTCTAATTTATCATAAAAACATTTAAAGCAATGTTATGCGAAGTTTCTTTAAAAGAAACTTTCTTTCAAAGTTATCCAAGTAAAGAATATAAAATAAAATGTATTTAATACATCCAATCAAAAAAAAAAAAAAAAAAAAAAAAAAAAAAAAAAAAAAAAAAAATTGATAATACATTATAATATCTATATATATAAGATGAAATCTAATAAATAACCAAAAAATGAAGAAAATATATAGAAAAGCAATTGAAAATAAATTCAAAATTGAATGTAGACAAAAGAAATTGAATTTAATAATAGTTAAAAAAAAAATAATAATTCAATTTTATTCTATCAAAATCAATTTTTCATAAATTATTTTTTATTTTTTATTTTTTTTTTTTTTTTGAACGTTGCAAAAAATAAATAAACAAAAAATAATAACAAGGGAAAAAAGAGTAATAATTTTTTTTTTTATAAAAAAATGACTTACAAAAACAAATATCAAAATTTTTGTTCTAACAAATCACATTAACAGTCATGTATAGCTAATAGATTGATAATTTAGGAAAAAGTGTTTCATTTAAAGGATAATAGAAGAACCTTCTGATCATAAATTTGATAAAAAAAAAATATCCTATCATAAAATGTCACTTTTTCATGTAAAGTATAGAAAATAATATTTTACAATTGATGTAAACCATTGAAAAATATGTGAGTATAATTTCTTGCACCCCCACAAAAAAAATGAGCATTTTCACGAGGTGAAATTTAAGGTTATTTCATCGAATATAAGGTCTTGCTTGTTTGTTTTATAATCATTTTTTATTGCATAAGGACAGCTATCTTTATAGCACTTGAAATGTCAATTTTATTAATTGGAATTGATAGTTTTCTCCTAAAATGGCTGTTTTTTCTATTTCGCTATCTTTTTATTATATTAAGAATTAAAAATGATATACCGGTGTAAATACACCAGTAGTTTTCAATGGAAATGTCAATTTTCTTTAAAAATTATTTTATTGGCGAAAAAAAGAGCAAAAGTGAAGTGAAAAAAATTCATCAAAAAATGGAATTTTGAGCTTTTTAAAAAGTATTTTAAATCGAATTATATACATGATTAATATATAATACTATAATAATTTAAAAATAATTCTTAATAATATTCGTAACATTTCTATAAAAATTTTGATATATTCGTATTTTTGGATAACGAAAATATTAAGTGAATATAAACCATTTAAAAAGTTGATAAAAACAAAATAATTATATTTTAACATTAGCTTTTAAAGTATTATAAAAAGAAATTTTTGTAGCATATATTAATAAAAAAATGTGTTTTCAACTACATGACATATTATTTCAAAAAAAAAGCATTACCGTAAAATTGACAAAAAATAATGCATCTATAAATTATTTTATTATCGACAAAAATCATTTCGTTTCAACCCATATAAGAGAAGGATAAATGTGAGAAAGGAAATAATGAGATATTGTATAATACTTTAATTAGGAATAATGGAAATAGTAAAAAATATTAGTTTATAATTAATATGAGTTACTATCGAAAACAAGGATAAAAAAAAATTATTAGCGTAAAAAACTTCTAATTTTTTTTCACTATATTTGATACTTGGTTGATCCTGCCAAGGAAGCACACTTCGGTCATAGATTAAGCCATGCAAGTGTTAGTTCAGGCAACGAAACTGCGAACAGCTCATTAATACGCTCAGAATCTACTTGGTGGCAACCTTTCAGGTTTTATTTGGATAGCAGCAGTAATTCTGGTGCTAATACATGCGATTGTTTCACTACGTTGAGAAATAGTGGAAAAGTTGACCCTTACGGGCACACCAATCGATTGAGCGACCTATCATGCTTGTACTTAGGGTCTTTACCTAGGTAGGCTATCACGGGTAACGGGCGGTTACCGTCGGACTGCCGGAGAAGGGGCCTGAGAGATAGCCACTATATCCACGGGTAGCAGCAGGCGCGAAACTTACCCACTCGAGACTTTCGGAGGTGGTAATGACCAGTTCCATGTCATCCCTCACGGGTTGTTTGGATAGGATCACACTTTTCCAGTGTGGTGCAATCTAGCAGAGGGCCAGTCTGGTGCCAGCAGCTGCGGTAATTCCAGCTCTGCGAGTTTGCTCCCATATTGTTGCAGTTAAAACGCTCGTAGTCAGAATTGCCCGCAAGGGCTTGCGAACTTCTGTTCGTTCACTGTGAACAAATCAGGACGCTTAGCGTATGGTTATCAGGAATGACTCAGCGCAGTATGATATCTTTACTTCTAGTAAAATCAATGAGAGCCACCGGGGGTAGATCTATTTCATGGCGAACGGTGGAATGTTCTGACCCATGAGAGAGAAACGAAGGCGAAAGCATCTACCTAGAGGGTTTCTGTCGATCAAGGGCGAGAGTAGGAGTATCCAACCGGATCAGAGACCCGGGTAGTTCCTACCTTAAACGATGCCGACAGGGGCTTGTCCTTTAATGAGGGCAGGACCTTAGGAGAAATCATAGTTCTTGGGCTCTGGGGGAACTACGACCGCAAGGCTGAAACTTGAAGGAATTGACGGAAGGGCACACCAGGGGTGGAGCTTGTGGCTTAATTTGAATCAACACGGGGAAACTTACCAGGACCAGATGTTTTTTATGACTGACAGGCTTCAGGTCTTTCAGGATATGATTTTTGGTGGTGCATGGCCGTTGGTGGTGCGTGGGTTGACCTGTCATGCGTTGATTCAGATAACGAGCGAGATTATCGCCAATTAAATACCAGGATCTGCTTTCAGAGCCATGGTTCTAATTGGGACTCCCTGCGTTTCAAGCAGGAGGAAGAGGGTAGCAATAACAGGTCCGTGATGTCCTTTAGATGCTCTGGGCTGCACGCGCGCTACAATGTTAGGATCAATGAGACTGCCGAGCCGAAAGGTTTTAGCTACTCTCACAATACCTAACGTAGTTGGGATTGAGGATTGTAATCATTCTCATGAACCAGGAATCCCTTGTAAATGTGTGTCAACAGCGCACGTTGAATACGTCCCTGCCCTTTGTACACACCGCCCGTCGCTCCTACCGATTGGATGACTCGGTGAAATTATCGGAGTTTTTTTACAAAGGTAATTAAATCACGTTATCTAGAGGAAGGAGAAGTCGTAACAAGGTATCGGTAGGTGAACCTGCCGATGGATCAGTTTCGTAAATTTAATCACAAACATATTTTTTTAAAAAAAAAATTATCTAAAATACAAATTAAATAATAAAAACAAAAAATTTAGACCTTAGGCAATGGATGTCTTGGCTTCTTACACGAGGAAGAACGTTGCATAATGCGATAAGCGGCTGGAGTTGCTTACTTTGCGACAAGTTCGATCTTTGAATGCACATTGCGCGCCGTCGAGCTTCGGCTTTGACACGCATATATGGTACAGTAACCCATAATAGTTTAAAAAAATCTCTTTTTACGCAAAAGAGCGAAAAATTTATATGTAACCAACGTAAGGGTTCTGTGCTATATAGGAAGACCCGCTGAACTGAAGCATCTCATTAAGCGGAGGAAAAGAAACTAACTAGGATACTCTTAGTAAGTGCGACCGAAGAGAGTAAAGTTCGTCGACCTAATCCTTTGGGAAATGTGGTTGAGGGGGCTTTTTGCTAGAGCGTAACTTGTGATGGTTCACAGGCTATAAAGAGTTTAAGCCTCGTAGCTTTTGCAAGCTAGGTCCCTGTAAACGAGTCGGGCAGCTTGAGAATGCTGCCTTAATTAGGTGGTACGCCCCATCTAAAACTAAATACTGTAAGAAGACCGATAGAGCACAAGTAGTGTGAACGAAAGATGAAAAGAACTCCCAGACGGAGAGTCAAAAGCGCCTGAACTTGTCTAGGGTGACGTATTTATTTAATACACCCGTCTTGAAACACGGATTAGGGAGTTTAACTGTAGTACGAGTCTTTGCCTTATAAAGGTGGAGGCGAAAGGAGACTGACTGGCATCTGCATGGCGTCTGAGTACTACTGTTAGAACCCGAAAGGAGGTGAACTATGCCTGAACAGATCGAAGCCAGAGGAAACTCTGGTGGAGGATCGTCCGCGTTATTGATGTGCAAATCATTTGCTAGATTTGGGTATAGGTGCGAAAGACTCATCGAACCTCCTAATAGCTGGTTTCCTCCGAAGTTTCCCTAAGGATAGCTGTAACACTTTTAGTTAAGGGGAGTAGAGACATGGGTAGAGGTGTAGTGGGGTCCTTGACCCTGCAACTTATTTCCAAACTTCGAACATCCTTGCACTAATTTACCTAATCGGAAATTGGTGGTTAAATATGTGTTGCAAGTGGGCTCTGACCGGTAAGCGGTCATGGCGAAATGGGATGAACCAAACGTGTGGATAAGGTGCCTAATTGTACTACCAATGATACCATTAAGGGAGTCCTTGTATTTAGACAGCGGGCCGGTGCCCCTAAAAGCAGGTATCCGCTAAAAAGTGTGTTAAAACTTCCCCGCCGAATACTCGGGCCTCGAAAATGAATGGCGCATATAGTACAACCGATACCGCACATTACATCTTTTGATGTGAGAGTAGGGGGATGTGGAGATCTTATTGAAGGTTTGGGTGCGAACCCGACTCGAAAGATTTCTATTACAGATCCTAATTGAAGTAGCGATTATCCAGGTTATTATCCTGGGGGCTGATGAGGAGTAGGGTTTCTGGGCAACTTAAACAGTCCCAGAGTTAGTCGGTCCTAATCAGATTATTCTGAGAAAGGGAACTCGGTTGATATTCCGAGACTAATACTTCCATGTGGTAACACTTGGCAATCTTATCCGTCGATTTGACACTCTATGATAGGGATATCTTTCCTATATGACTCGGTTTACGTCCTAGGAATCAGGTCAACTGGGGAATAGTTGATGTATCTGAGGCAAACTGTGAATTCGTTCACAGCCAGGGCTGTTGGATTGATCCTTGAAGAGAGGATTGCTTAGGGAGTATAGCCGTACCGATGACCGCATCAGGTCTCCAAGGTGAGAAGCCTATGGCCATTGAGGTGTGGTAGTTCAGGGAATTCGGCCAATTGGAGCTGTAACTTCGGGATAAAGCTTGGCTCTGATGGAAATCAGAACCGATAGTTACAAGGAGAGCCCAACTGTTTAATAAAAACTTAGTCTTGCGCTGTGCTCTTATAGGCAGTGAACGCAAGATGAATCCTGCTCAGTGCTGTGTTTGTTAATATGGTTAAAGCCAATAAAGCGCCGGTAAATAGCTGGGGTAACTATGACTCTTATCAAAGTAGCGAAATACCTCGTCACTTAATTAGTGACCTGCATGAACGGAGCTATGAGGTTCTCACTGTCCCAAACTATCTCTCAGCGAACCATCAGTTGTGGGAACGGGCACAAACTATCCAGCGGGGAAAGAAGACCCTGTAGAGCTTCACTTTGGTCTAGTCTTGTATGGTTTCGTCTGGGGTGCAGTCTAGGTGGGAGAGCAATCGAATATGAGAAACCACTACCCGGTCTGGAATCATGCTTACCTTAATCGGGATAGGATTAGATAGAAAGTTTGGCTGGGGCGGCACACCTTCGAAAGCGCAGCGAAGGTGTCCTAAGTTGAGCTCAGTGAGGACAGAAATCTCACGTCGAGGATAAGGCCAAAAGCTCAATTTACTGTGCCTTTTTGTACTAGGACCAGTTTGGAAACAAAGGCCTAACGATCCCTAATTAGTCTCAGGTGCGTGAGACTTGGGGTGACAGACAAGTTACCTCCGGGACAACTGGCTTGTGGCTGCTAAGAGATCAAATCAACGCAGCTTTTTGATTCTTCGATGTCGGCTCTTCCTATCCTAGTGATGCACAAGTCACTAAGGGTTGGATTGTTCACCCGTATTAGGGATCGTGAGCTGGGTTTAGACCGTCGTGAGCCAGGTTTGTTTTATCCTACTGGATATTGCATCATGATAGTAGTTTGATTTAGTACGAGAGGAACTGTTGAATATGGCCTCTGGTTCAGGGATTTTGGGAAACCAAACCGTCCCGCAGCTACGCCGTCTGGGATAATGGCTGAAGGCCTCTTAAGCCAGAAACTCATCTAGAAAATGATGCTCTGCACCTTTCTGACATGTTAAAAATAGCTTTTGCTTTCTAAATGTCTCGGTGTGGGTTAACCAAATGTAGAAGACGTTTTGTGAACGAGGGTCCTGTACGCAAGGGAGTGGCATTCCGTCACGACCTGTTGAGGGTCAGCCTTGTTTCTAGGTTATTATATTGTCTTTTTTTTTAAAAAAATAAATCAAAGTCATTTTTGATTTATTTTATAATACAGAAGTGTCACTTTTACGGTATATTTCTTAATGAATTTATATGTAATTTTGATGCATTCATTAATGTTGCATACTTATATATGATTCACATGCACTTGATTAACAAAACAAGCTATTTTTCGATTTAAAATCATAATGAATATAACATGTTATACTGAGAATATTATCATCAATAATTTTTTGCTTATAAATATATATAAAAATTTCACTAAAAATATAAGAGTTAATTTTATTAATGAAAACACTTTTTTTTATACATTTTTATTTCATAAAATGATTAAAATGATTAAAAACACATTAAACAGCATGCATACATATCATTATAATACATAATATTATAAATTATGCATACTATACATGATTTATAATATAAATTTTTTGAATGATGAATTTTAATAATAAAAGTCATAAATGAAAGAGAAACCAAATGATTTAAACATATGAAAACAGCATCATTATAGATACATAAACATGTTTTATTTATTTCATAAAAATCAAAAAAAAAAACTCAACAGCAAAAAAGAAATGAAAAATCATTAATAATTTTTTTTTTGTATGTAAATGTATACAAATTCATAAAGGATTTTTTTTTCAATTTTAAAAAGAAAAGTCATTCAAAAAACATATTTTATTCAAGCGCAAATATGTGAATATTAATCATTCAAGATATAATAACTAACAGCAATTTGAAAATTAAAAAATAAAAACAAGAAGAAATACATGTTACTTTAAATGCATATTAGTATGAATGAAATTAATCTGACTATTTTTATAGGGTACCGTAAAAGTGCTAAAAAAAGATGCACCATCATACTAAATTTTTATCGACGAAAAACATTTAAAAAGAATCCATATGTAAGAGGAGTCTGAAAAGACAGCAGTAGTAATACTGTGAAAGTCTTTTATAATCCGATCATTACATCATAAAAAGGGAGAATCGCCTAGGTGTATGATCACGGCTGTGAATAGTGGGCGCAGTTGTTAGAGTTTGAGTAACATCAACTATCGATTAAGACACTTCTATATACAGTCCTACTTGGACACGTCACTAAAAACCCATTTACAGTGGCAACAAGGATAAAAAAAAATTATTAGCGTAAAAAACTTCTAATTTTTTTTCACTATATTTGATACTTGGTTGATCCTGCCAAGGAAGCACACTTCGGTCATAGATTAAGCCATGCAAGTGTTAGTTCAGGCAACGAAACTGCGAACAGCTCATTAATACGCTCAGAATCTACTTGGTGGCAACCTTTCAGGTTTTATTTGGATAGCAGCAGTAATTCTGGTGCTAATACATGCGATTGTTTCACTACGTTGAGAAATAGTGGAAAAGTTGACCCTTACGGGCACACCAATCGATTGAGCGACCTATCATGCTTGTACTTAGGGTCTTTACCTAGGTAGGCTATCACGGGTAACGGGCGGTTACCGTCGGACTGCCGGAGAAGGGGCCTGAGAGATAGCCACTATATCCACGGGTAGCAGCAGGCGCGAAACTTACCCACTCGAGACTTTCGGAGGTGGTAATGACCAGTTCCATGTCATCCCTCACGGGTTGTTTGGATAGGATCACACTTTTCCAGTGTGGTGCAATCTAGCAGAGGGCCAGTCTGGTGCCAGCAGCTGCGGTAATTCCAGCTCTGCGAGTTTGCTCCCATATTGTTGCAGTTAAAACGCTCGTAGTCAGAATTGCCCGCAAGGGCTTGCGAACTTCTGTTCGTTCACTGTGAACAAATCAGGACGCTTAGCGTATGGTTATCAGGAATGACTCAGCGCAGTATGATATCTTTACTTCTAGTAAAATCAATGAGAGCCACCGGGGGTAGATCTATTTCATGGCGAACGGTGGAATGTTCTGACCCATGAGAGAGAAACGAAGGCGAAAGCATCTACCTAGAGGGTTTCTGTCGATCAAGGGCGAGAGTAGGAGTATCCAACCGGATCAGAGACCCGGGTAGTTCCTACCTTAAACGATGCCGACAGGGGCTTGTCCTTTAATGAGGGCAGGACCTTAGGAGAAATCATAGTTCTTGGGCTCTGGGGGAACTACGACCGCAAGGCTGAAACTTGAAGGAATTGACGGAAGGGCACACCAGGGGTGGAGCTTGTGGCTTAATTTGAATCAACACGGGGAAACTTACCAGGACCAGATGTTTTTTATGACTGACAGGCTTCAGGTCTTTCAGGATATGATTTTTGGTGGTGCATGGCCGTTGGTGGTGCGTGGGTTGACCTGTCATGCGTTGATTCAGATAACGAGCGAGATTATCGCCAATTAAATACCAGGATCTGCTTTCAGAGCCATGGTTCTAATTGGGACTCCCTGCGTTTCAAGCAGGAGGAAGAGGGTAGCAATAACAGGTCCGTGATGTCCTTTAGATGCTCTGGGCTGCACGCGCGCTACAATGTTAGGATCAATGAGACTGCCGAGCCGAAAGGTTTTAGCTACTCTCACAATACCTAACGTAGTTGGGATTGAGGATTGTAATCATTCTCATGAACCAGGAATCCCTTGTAAATGTGTGTCAACAGCGCACGTTGAATACGTCCCTGCCCTTTGTACACACCGCCCGTCGCTCCTACCGATTGGATGACTCGGTGAAATTATCGGAGTTTTTTTACAAAGGTAATTAAATCACGTTATCTAGAGGAAGGAGAAGTCGTAACAAGGTATCGGTAGGTGAACCTGCCGATGGATCAGTTTCGTAAATTTAATCACAAACATATTTTTTTAAAAAAAAAATTATCTAAAATACAAATTAAATAATAAAAACAAAAAATTTAGACCTTAGGCAATGGATGTCTTGGCTTCTTACACGAGGAAGAACGTTGCATAATGCGATAAGCGGCTGGAGTTGCTTACTTTGCGACAAGTTCGATCTTTGAATGCACATTGCGCGCCGTCGAGCTTCGGCTTTGACACGCATATATGGTACAGTAACCCATAATAGTTTAAAAAAATCTCTTTTTACGCAAAAGAGCGAAAAATTTATATGTAACCAACGTAAGGGTTCTGTGCTATATAGGAAGACCCGCTGAACTGAAGCATCTCATTAAGCGGAGGAAAAGAAACTAACTAGGATACTCTTAGTAAGTGCGACCGAAGAGAGTAAAGTTCGTCGACCTAATCCTTTGGGAAATGTGGTTGAGGGGGCTTTTTGCTAGAGCGTAACTTGTGATGGTTCACAGGCTATAAAGAGTTTAAGCCTCGTAGCTTTTGCAAGCTAGGTCCCTGTAAACGAGTCGGGCAGCTTGAGAATGCTGCCTTAATTAGGTGGTACGCCCCATCTAAAACTAAATACTGTAAGAAGACCGATAGAGCACAAGTAGTGTGAACGAAAGATGAAAAGAACTCCCAGACGGAGAGTCAAAAGCGCCTGAACTTGTCTAGGGTGACGTATTTATTTAATACACCCGTCTTGAAACACGGATTAGGGAGTTTAACTGTAGTACGAGTCTTTGCCTTATAAAGGTGGAGGCGAAAGGAGACTGACTGGCATCTGCATGGCGTCTGAGTACTACTGTTAGAACCCGAAAGGAGGTGAACTATGCCTGAACAGATCGAAGCCAGAGGAAACTCTGGTGGAGGATCGTCCGCGTTATTGATGTGCAAATCATTTGCTAGATTTGGGTATAGGTGCGAAAGACTCATCGAACCTCCTAATAGCTGGTTTCCTCCGAAGTTTCCCTAAGGATAGCTGTAACACTTTTAGTTAAGGGGAGTAGAGACATGGGTAGAGGTGTAGTGGGGTCCTTGACCCTGCAACTTATTTCCAAACTTCGAACATCCTTGCACTAATTTACCTAATCGGAAATTGGTGGTTAAATATGTGTTGCAAGTGGGCTCTGACCGGTAAGCGGTCATGGCGAAATGGGATGAACCAAACGTGTGGATAAGGTGCCTAATTGTACTACCAATGATACCATTAAGGGAGTCCTTGTATTTAGACAGCGGGCCGGTGCCCCTAAAAGCAGGTATCCGCTAAAAAGTGTGTTAAAACTTCCCCGCCGAATACTCGGGCCTCGAAAATGAATGGCGCATATAGTACAACCGATACCGCACATTACATCTTTTGATGTGAGAGTAGGGGGATGTGGAGATCTTATTGAAGGTTTGGGTGCGAACCCGACTCGAAAGATTTCTATTACAGATCCTAATTGAAGTAGCGATTATCCAGGTTATTATCCTGGGGGCTGATGAGGAGTAGGGTTTCTGGGCAACTTAAACAGTCCCAGAGTTAGTCGGTCCTAATCAGATTATTCTGAGAAAGGGAACTCGGTTGATATTCCGAGACTAATACTTCCATGTGGTAACACTTGGCAATCTTATCCGTCGATTTGACACTCTATGATAGGGATATCTTTCCTATATGACTCGGTTTACGTCCTAGGAATCAGGTCAACTGGGGAATAGTTGATGTATCTGAGGCAAACTGTGAATTCGTTCACAGCCAGGGCTGTTGGATTGATCCTTGAAGAGAGGATTGCTTAGGGAGTATAGCCGTACCGATGACCGCATCAGGTCTCCAAGGTGAGAAGCCTATGGCCATTGAGGTGTGGTAGTTCAGGGAATTCGGCCAATTGGAGCTGTAACTTCGGGATAAAGCTTGGCTCTGATGGAAATCAGAACCGATAGTTACAAGGAGAGCCCAACTGTTTAATAAAAACTTAGTCTTGCGCTGTGCTCTTATAGGCAGTGAACGCAAGATGAATCCTGCTCAGTGCTGTGTTTGTTAATATGGTTAAAGCCAATAAAGCGCCGGTAAATAGCTGGGGTAACTATGACTCTTATCAAAGTAGCGAAATACCTCGTCACTTAATTAGTGACCTGCATGAACGGAGCTATGAGGTTCTCACTGTCCCAAACTATCTCTCAGCGAACCATCAGTTGTGGGAACGGGCACAAACTATCCAGCGGGGAAAGAAGACCCTGTAGAGCTTCACTTTGGTCTAGTCTTGTATGGTTTCGTCTGGGGTGCAGTCTAGGTGGGAGAGCAATCGAATATGAGAAACCACTACCCGGTCTGGAATCATGCTTACCTTAATCGGGATAGGATTAGATAGAAAGTTTGGCTGGGGCGGCACACCTTCGAAAGCGCAGCGAAGGTGTCCTAAGTTGAGCTCAGTGAGGACAGAAATCTCACGTCGAGGATAAGGCCAAAAGCTCAATTTACTGTGCCTTTTTGTACTAGGACCAGTTTGGAAACAAAGGCCTAACGATCCCTAATTAGTCTCAGGTGCGTGAGACTTGGGGTGACAGACAAGTTACCTCCGGGACAACTGGCTTGTGGCTGCTAAGAGATCAAATCAACGCAGCTTTTTGATTCTTCGATGTCGGCTCTTCCTATCCTAGTGATGCACAAGTCACTAAGGGTTGGATTGTTCACCCGTATTAGGGATCGTGAGCTGGGTTTAGACCGTCGTGAGCCAGGTTTGTTTTATCCTACTGGATATTGCATCATGATAGTAGTTTGATTTAGTACGAGAGGAACTGTTGAATATGGCCTCTGGTTCAGGGATTTTACCAAACCGTCCCGCAGCTACGCCGTCTGGGATAATGGCTGAAGGCCTCTTAAGCCAGAAACTCATCTAGAAAATGATGCTCTGCACCTTTCTGACATGTTAAAAATAGCTTTTGCTTTCTAAATGTCTCGGTGTGGGTTAACCAAATGTAGAAGACGTTTTGTGAACGAGGGTCCTGTACGCAAGGGAGTGGCATTCCGTCACGACCTGTTGAGGGTCAGCCTTGTTTTTCTTTTTTTTCTTTATTTTTTTTTTTTCCCATGTATTATAATAAGTATTGATGATCTAAATTATTTATGATAATTGATTTTGTTTATACAATAAAAGGTCCAATAAACAACATTTGAAATATCAAACCAGAATTTTGATGAATTTTAGTTTTTTGGTTTATTACTAAAAAGAGATTAACTACTAACAAATATGATTTTGTTGTGCAATATAAATTACAAATTCTTTATAAGATATTCTCTATGTTTTGTGCTTCGCAAATACTTTCATGAAATTTTAATAAATTCAAAAACAAATTAAATTTTTGCATATACATATCAAAGCACTGAATTTATATAAGAGCATAAGCAAATTTCAATTATCTTTTCAATGAATTGTATATTACAAGCTTAGAAAATATTTTATTTTATAAAAACAAGTTTTTAAATAGTTTTTACTCGAAATGATGAATGGTTGTTAGTGATGATCAAAATAATTAAATTTCGACATTATTTTCAAACCCCTGATTTCCAAGCAAAAATTAGATTTATTAGATCTAAAACTTCTAATAATTGAAAAAATATAAGTGATAATAATCAAAATAATAATCATTAATAATAATAATAATAATAATCATTAATAATAATAATAATAATAATAATAATAATAAATATTTTAGTTTATTAAGGTAAATTAGTATTAATCGATTTTTTTAAATACTTAAAAATCGCAAAAGTTTTGGTGAGGAGTAAATTCATTTCCATTATTTTCTCATTTTCTTTTATCGCTTTCATTGTTTTCATCTTTGGCTGTGGGAAAATCAATATTCTTGCATTTTTCTTCTATAACAGAAAATCTATTTTCTAATTCATTCACCTTATCTCTTAAATTATTTTGTTCCTTCAATAAATTCTCAATTTTTTCATTAACTTTTCCAACTTCAAATTTGGAACTAGTGACATCTCTGAAGTATGAGCTAAATTTAGAAGATATTGAATCAATTATAGCAATTTTAAGATCAGAATGTACCTTATCGATCATTAATTTTAATGTAGATTTGGAATCACTTTGTAACATGGCGATTCTCTCTTCTAAGTTCCCTTCTAACTGGTCGAATCTATCATTAATATTAGTGAATTTATTTTCAAAATCTTCTTTCATTTTTTTTAAGGTAGTACAAATAGCATTGAAATCATTTTTATATGAGTTATCTGCCTGACCTGGTTCATTGTTTTGGCCTGATGCATTATTTGAATTATCATCTGATATATTATTTTCAATGTATGCTTTAGTAAATTGTTCATTAGGATTCATATTAGAGTCAATATCACTTACATGCATCGATGAGGAAACTTCAGTATTTTGAGGAATCTTATATGTTCTTGAATCAAATTCATGTTTCTTTTGATCTAGCATTTCATGTCCGGGAGCACCTGAATCATTTGTAGAAGGATTTTTTTCTTGCATGATAGTACTCGTTTAAGTGTAAGCTAAATAAAAATGATATGAATATTTAACTAAACGGACTGTATATGAAAAAGTTAAACTTTTTCATAAAAAATAAATCACTGCTATAAAATTCACCCGGAAAAATAGCAAGGACGTTTATCTTGATACAAGCAATATATTTATAATTATTTATACATAGAGGAAAAAGTTGAATGTAAAAGTGCTTTTAAAAAATCTATATTATTTTTATATATAATGAAAAAATAAAAAATAGAAAATTTTATAATATAATCCTAAAATTTGCCAAAAATTGAATGTTTAAACTTAAATTCAAATGTCAGCCCATTATTTTTTCTCTCAATTTATTTGACAAGAAAAATATTTATTTCAATTTTAATAAGCTTTATTATTTCTTTTCAAATTAATCTTTAAAATTTTTGTTTTTTCATTAATTGATCAAGGATCAATTCAGTACGCAGACATTTTCATTAGATTTCGCCAATAACTTAATTCGACTGTGTCTTTTATTGCTTTTGGTGCCAAATTAAAGGTTCAAAAATTATAATTATTGAACAACAATCTTGCAATTAGAAGTTACACTTGGATTTTTGCCCATACACCATTATACTTCTTTGATTTTTATGATTTTTGCTTGACATTTCCAGTATTCAGTATAAATATTTCAAAAGCATACTCAACTCGGCAAAATTATTTCAAATAAATGCTCCCCTTATTGATTTACGTCATTTTCAAATAGATTATCCATATATTTTTCCTGTTAATTACACTCTTTTTGAACTAGTTAGTAAAATTTTATTTTAATTCAATTTTAATATAAAATTTTGAAAATAATAACTTTGAATTGGTTCAAAACTCAGACCAAAATTGAATAAAAAAGTTCCCTTTTTTGTATTAATACGTTATAAAATAACCGCCACCAAGGCCAATTATAGTTGAAAGGTGGTCCGACTTTTGAACGGCAGTTTATTTGTTTTTGATAATTGAAAAAAAAAAAAAAAAAAATGGAAATCGGATTTATCCGCAACAGTTATGGTCAATATTGGCCTTTATCGTTCTTCAGAAAATAAAAGCTTGGAACTTTTTTCCACTTTTGCCAAAAATACAATGAGTAGCTAATTGTACTAATTCTTTTGAGCATATTTCTGCAATCTATCAAAAATACAAACTCTTTCTCTGTATTAGTGACATCGTTATATCCACATAATTTTGGAACAATTGATACTGCGCAATAATCATATGAACTATTTTTATCTCGAGGAGACAATAATAATGAACTTTCAATTTCTTCAATCGTTTCAAATGTCATCATAATTGATTGATTTTTAATTTTGTTTTGTATTTTGTTAGCAATTTTGAATATTTTTTGTTTTTTATCAAATTGTGCGTTTTTGACATTTGATTTAACATTGCTTATTTTATCTTTATCTGATTGGATTTCCATGAAAATGTTAGAATAAACATTTAGACAATCAACTGAACCACTTGGTGTATAAACATCAAGAGGGAATTTTATGAAGAATGTTCTTCTATCAGTAATAACTGCCTTCAAGGCCATCTTAATAATAATTTTGCATTCAATTTGGGGATTCAAATTGCCAATTTTAAATTCTGTCAATCCATCTGCAATATTTGATCCGAAAAAGGCATAATTACCTCTATTAATAGACTTATTGTATATTTCAATAGCTTCTTTTCTTTCTCTTATTATTGGATTAATTATTTTATTTCCTAAAACAAATGTAATACCGTAAATGTATATTTTCATATCATTCTGGAAAATATAGCTAATCTCTACATTTTTTTCTGATTTATTTTGAAATGTTTGGGTTACTTCTAGATTCATAATTAATCCTTTTTGAAAGCCATTAATTTCAACTTTTTTGGTTTCATTTTATAGAAATCACTCTTTTCCAAGATGCAGCATGATCCAAAGCTCATTTAAATTAAAAATGAACTCAAAGTACTTAGAGGTTTGTGACATAAAAAAGGGGCAGAAATTAATCAAATTTTAATATCATTGGGCAAAAATAAAAACGAAATATATTGTCTAAAAGAAAAACAACTCTTTTTTAAAAGTGTTAGAATCATAATATAAAAGTGTTAGAATTCCAATATACTACATTTGTTCAAAATTATGCATTTGCAGCGAGTGAAAAATAATGAATCGCTTTGCTGATATCTTTCGAAATATATTCACCTTCATAATAAATATTTCCGAGAATATGTTGTGCATCTGCATCATTTTGGTTTGCAGCGAGTGAATAATAATGAATCGCTTTCTTCATATTTCTCGAAATATTTTTACCTTCTGAATAAATATACCCAAGACAGAATTGTTATTTTAAATTATTTGAATTTTCTGGGATTTCAAAGAAGTGAATAAATTTATCAATGTTTTCAGAAAAATAACTCTCTGGGTAATACTCTTCTCCAAGTAAAAATTGAGAAATTAAATGATTTGTGTTTACATAGTTTGTATATTTTTTGATATATTTTCTTATATTCTGTTTTTATGATTTCACTTGAATAAAACATTTCAAGTTGTTTTTGAAATTCCAATATGAAAAATATTTTTTTTTTATAATTATTTGTAACTTCATTCAGATCAAAACTGTCTGCTTCCTCTTGCATGAATAATAAAAAAATATCATAAAATGAATCTATTAATTTCGTGATATCTGGTCTTTTTGATGGCTCTTTGCTAGTGCAAATCATGCGAATGCCTCTCAATTTACAATATTCACCAAAAGAGAATAAAGGCGAAAATGACAATATTTCTGAATTTGAAAAGATATGATTAACGAATTTGTTACATACGTTACTCGAAATAGTGTTTCACTTAACGCACAAATTCAACCATCAATTTATGAAACAAATTCATTTTTACTTTAAAAACAGAAAAAAACAAAACAAAATCCAAAAGATGATGATTTTTCATTGATTGAGTATGCTGTATTTTTTGGCTCAATTCAAATATTTAACCACTTGCGACTTGAAGGCGTCGAATTAACGCCATCGTTGTGGCTTTTGGCCATTCATGGAAAAAACTCAGAAATGATTCACTTTCTCGAAGGTAATCATGTTGAATTGAGTGATAAATCATACAAACAAGTCTTTTATGAATCAAACAAATGCCACCACAACGACATTGCAAATTACCTCATAAACTACTTCTTGCAAAATGAAGACGAAAATTCACATGATACAATCAACCAATGTCTCAAATATTATAATTTCGCCTTTTTGAAAAGTGAGTCCATTAGTGAATCTTCATTTTGCAACATGTGCAAGTACGATTATTGTGCACTTGTTGATGACCTTTTGAAAGACAAAGATATAGATGTAAATCAAAAAGAAATTTTTAATTTTTTTTAATATAATTTCATATGATAATTATTTATGTTGAATTCATATCTTTTAATATCATTCAAAATCATATCATTTAATAGCATTCAAAATCATATCTTTGAATGAAATTTTGATATAATAATAATTTATAAGACAGCATTATATTTGGCGGTTGAAAAAGAAAACATTGAAATATTGAAACTTTTATTAACGAATGACAAACTTGACATTAATCTTCTTAATATTTTTTATAATTTTTTATCAAATTTAAAGTCATATCTTTCAATAAAATTAAAAATATCCCAAGAAAAAATCAAATTGAACAAACAGCATTGCATCTTGCAGTTAGAATAGGAAATCCTAAGATAATAAAACTTTTGCTCGATAAGAAAGATATTGACATTAATATTGAAGATAATCGTGGGAAAAAACCAATCGATTATTCTAGAAACAATGAAATTAAGCAATTACTTTCAAAATGATTTTCCATTCATTTTTAAATAGAAATAGATGTACTAAAGCCAACTTTTTTCAATGCATTTTATTTTAATTCTAAAATATCGTTATCTCAATAAATTTTATAAATTATTAATTTTAAATATGTTTTATTTAATTATAAGAAACTAAAAAACAATTAAAAATGCATGAAAATAGTATGGATTAATTATATAGCTCAGAAAAGTAAAGTTTGTGTTATAAAAAAAAATTGGCCCAAAATTTTGCTTTCATCGCTATATATACTTTGTTTCACCAAATATTTATTCGATTTATTCGGATTAAAAGCCAATCGGATCTGCCAATTTTTTTTTTCTCTTATAAAATGGCTTGAAATTTAAACTATTTATTTGAAAAAGTGAAAAGCAATCACTTCACAAAATATGATATTTTATTTTTATTCAAATAAATTTGAATGAATTTTCACAAATTAAAAAATAAAATTATCAATTATTTTTATTAATCTATTAAACCGAAATATCTAAAAAAAAGTATATCTTGAAGTTGTAGGATAAATTTATTAATTAAACAAATAGTATAATTTATAAAATTTATATCATAAATTTTAGCAATAATAAATAATAAAAATTTTGGCAGGATCTTGGCTTGTGTACATCTATAGAAATTAATAAAAATTTAAATTAAAAAAATTTTTCTTCATAATATTTGTGTCATCATAAACACATTTTCATCAGTTTTTGTATATGGATATTTTCATTGTTAAATCAATTGCTACAGAGTCAACAATATTTTGTTTGGAGAATTAAAGTAAATTTCAGCTTTCAATTGCGTAAGGTCTTTCAGAAGTTGTTATTGTAGAAAATGCCCATCTTGATACAAATTCTCCCCCTCTTTTAATTGATCCAAAAAATCCAAGTATATTGGTAAATATATATTGGTTTCTAGTTTAAAACTCGTAAAAAATAGATTTTGAAGAAGATAAAAAAAAAAAATATTGACTTATACTCATTCGCATCCACTGGAATAAAAATTTTAATTTTACCTTCATCTGTTAGTTTAATCAAACAAGGCGCATTTGAATGTTGCCAATATCTTCTATATTGCCTTTAAAATAAATCAAAATCATTTTTTTGATTTATTTTATAATACAGAAGTGTCACTTTTACGGTATTTATTAATGTTATATACTTATATATGATTCACATGCACTTGATTAACAAAATAAGCTACTTTCAAAACCCTGATTTCCAAGCATAAATTAGATTTATTAGATCTAAAACTTCTAATAATTGAAAGAATATAAGTGATAATAATCAAAATAATAATCATTAATAAAAGGATAAAAAAATATTTTAGTTTAGTCAGGTAAGTTAGTATCAATCGATTTTTTTAAATCCTTAAAAATCGCAAAAATTTTGGTGAGGAGTAAATTCATTTCCATTATTTTCTCATTTTTTTTTCATCGCTTTCTTTTTTGACTCTGGAAAAATCAATATTCTTGTATTTTTCTTCAAAAACAGAAAATTTTTTTTCTAATTCATTCACCTTATCTCTTAAATTATTTTTTTCCTTCAATAAATTCTCAATTTTTGCATTAACCTTTCCAATTTCAAAATTGAAACTATTGACTTCTCTGAAGTATGAATCAAATTCAGAAGATATTGAAGAAATTATAGTATCTTTAAGATCTGAATGTACCTTATCGATAATTGATTTTAACGTAGAATTGAAATCACTTTCTAACTTGGCGAATCCCTCTTCTAACTTCTCTTCTAACTTGGAGAATCTCTCTTCATATGATAATGAACCAAGTCTTTGTTGTTGTTGGTTGGGTGTACTATTATCAAGATCATTTGAATCATTATTAGAATGATTTCCTGATTGCGTATTCTTCACCATATATGGTCTAAGCTTAATAAAAAATGAAATGAATATTTAAATAAACGGACAGCATATGAAAAAGATGAACTTTTTCATAAAAAATAAATCACTGCTATAAAAATCGCCCGGAAAAATAGCAAGGACGTTTAATTTGATACAACCAATTTACTTATAAATATTTATACATAGAGTAAAAAGTTGAATGTAAAAGTGCTTTTAAAAATTCTATATTATTTTTATATATAATGAAAAAATAAAAAATAGAAAATTTTATATAGTGGTGAGAAAAATATGTATACATATTGAATTATATGTATACGTTATGTTTCTCTTTCAGAAATTAATTACTATTTATTTTATACTTTGAAATTATATCTTATTTCATAATTTAATATAATTTTTAATTATAAAAAGATTTTTGTCAAAAATTAAATGAGATATTTATGAATTTTTCAAATTAAATTATATTCAAATTTTTGAATTAACAGCCATATAACAATTGAAAATCAAGCGTATACATATTTTTCAAAGGTATACATATTATTCCGACCACTATAATATAATTCTAAAATTTGCCAAAAATTGAATGTTTAAACTTAAATTCAAATGTCAGCCCATTATTTTTTCTCTCAATTTATTTGACAAGAAAAATATTTATTTCAATTTTAATAAGCTTTATTATTTCTTTTCAAATTAATCTTTAAAATTTTTGTTTTTTCATTAATTGATCAAGGATCAATTCAGTATGCAGACATTTTCATTAGATTTCGCCAATAACTTAATTCGACTGTGTCTTTTATTGCTTTTGGTGCCAAATTAAAGGTTCATAAATTATAATTATTGAACAACAATCTTGCAATTAGAAGTTACACTTGGATTTTTGCCCATACACCATTATACTTCTTTGATTTTTATGATTTTTGCTTGACATTTCCAGTATTCAGTATAAATATTTCAAAAGCATACTCAACTCGGCAAAATTATTTCAAATAAATGCTCCCCTTATTGATTTACGTCATTTTCAAATAGATTATCCATATATTTTGCCTGGTGATATGATTACGAAAAATGTGTTAAACTTGTAAAATTATAAAAAGTAAAATTTTAAATATTAATCAAAGATTCTGAAAGATTGATCACAGTGAGAGAAGAACAATAAGAATGAGCATCCAACAATATATTGACGAAAAACATCCAAAATCTGGTTATAAAAAAATTTAAAAACTCCTTGCTTTTTTAGTTAATCATATTATGCAAAAAAAGAGTTTTTTATGTGCAAAAAAACTATTAA